AGGGATTTATTCTAATAGTGTTTGTAAATAGGATATTATATCTGCATCTTGTATAGCAAATAACCACTAGGAAGAATGTATGCAATGTGTTAATTATTGAAACTGTCCTACCAGTTTGGTTTGAAACTGTCTCATTGCTATTTGTGTCTCAATAAAATTATGGGAAAAAAACCGCACAGGAGGATGTACATCGGTTACATGCAGCCTTATTCCAATTAATACGAGGGACTCGAACATCTGAGGCTCTTGGTGCCCTTGTGACAGTCGGGCTATGGAAGAAATCCCCTACAGACACTCAAGGACAGCTCTGTTTCTGGCTGTATCTGCTTCTATTGTTCAACCATTTCATTAATTAATTGGAACATTTAGGTGTAAGCTCTTTTTTTTTTTCCCCCCCAAAGGCTCTATTATTATTTTAGAAATTCTTTTGGTTTCTTTTTCAAATGTTATTTTGCATTTTTAATAGTATCTTGATTTTTCCTAAGTTTGGGTTTCTGTTGACTCTGCTTTTTATATTTACTTTGGGAATATCTTTACAGAAATTCAGGCTCTTGTGTTCTTGTCCCACTGTTGTGTTCTCACTGACAGTTGGCTGTTTCTTTGTGGTTTTGCCGTGTATAATTGTCTGTGTGGATCAGGGGCTGTGGTCTGCGCTGTGGGCTGGCTCCTCCGGCTCCAAAGGCTGTCACTGGTCTGGGGCCAGTTTTTGTGTTAATTCATGCACTCGGAAGCTAACGCGAGCCCGAGTGCCAAGCCTGAGTGAGCGCGGAGCCGCGGTTCTGAGTCCTGGGGGAGGAGCCCACCTCCCCTCAGCCATTGCCCAGGCCCAGCCTGAGGTGGCAGGGTTTGCCCTCTGGCAGCTGCCCAACAAGGTCACTAGATCTCAGTTCAGATCATGCCAGGACCAAGTGACCCTAGCTCTGGCTGTGACCCTCTTCAGGAAATACCTCATTTTTCCATGTTCTTCTTGGGTAGTGCCAAGGCCTACGGAGTGGGACCCAGCACCCAAATCGTTTTAGAGCTGCAAAGGAATAAAGGTCTCTTTATGGTTTGTAGTTGTACTTTTTTTTTGAGACGGGGTCTCACTATGTAGGTCAGGCTGGCCTTGAAATCACTAATCCAGGCTAGCTTCAAACTCAGTGATCCTCCTGTCTCAGCCTACCAAGTACTGGTATTACATGTATATGCTATTACACCTATTACTGGATCTCTCTCTTTCTCCCTCCCTCCCTCCCTCCCTTCTTCTCTCCTTTTGTCCTTCCCTCTCTGTATCTTTCTGTCTTTGTCTGTCTGTCTGTCTCTTGTTTTTTTTGAGGGAGGATCTTGCTATGTAGCCTAGGCTGGCCTAGAACTCTCAGGAATCCAACAGTCCTCCTGCCTCAGTCTCCTGAATTCTGAGATTATAGGCATGTGCCACACTACCCCATAGGCCCTCCTCTCTCTCTCCCTCTCTCTGTTTTTCTGAGACAGGACCCCACTATGTAGTCCAGACTGGCCTTGAACTCACAGAGATCCTTCTGCCTCAGCCTCCTGAGAGTGCTGGGATTATAAATATGTGTCACCATGTCTGGCATGCATCATCTTTTTAAAAAATTTTTTATTTATTTGTGTGTGTGTGTGTGTGTGTGTGTGTGTGGCCAGCTCAGCCCACCAGGGGGTGGGGCTGGCTGGCATGTGGTGCTGGGGGACTGAACCGCAGTCCCTGTGCTTTGCTAAGCTTGTTCTAAGTAGGTGCTTTAGACCACTGAGCCATCTCACCAGCCCCTGGCATGCATCATCTTTAAACAGACAATGTTTTCTAAAAAAATAAATAAATAAAAATCTTTTTCTTTCCTTCCCTTTCTATTTATTTATTTTTTATTTTTTATTTTTGGCAGAACCAGAGATTGAACTCAGGCCCTTGTGCTTGCCAGGGAAGCGCTTACTCTACTGAGCTATCTCCCCGGCTTCCCTTCCCTTTCCTTCCCTTTCTTTCTCACAGGGTCTCGCTACGCAGCTTGGACTCATAGTGATCATCCTCTCAGGGTGTGCCACCATGTCTGGTTTGGGTGGCTGGCTTGGCACAGGGCCAGCATGGTGTGTGGAACCAGGGATTGAACGTGGGTGCTTGCACTTACCAGGCAGGCACTTAGACCATTGCCGAGCTGTCTCCCTGGCGCCCAGACAACTCTTAGCACACACGCACGCATGCACGGAGGGGCTAATAAGATGACAGAGTCTGAGCCGGGGTTTGCAGGAAAGGCAGGGGCTGTGGGTGAGGCTTTCAGACCCTAGGGGAGGTGGTTCCCGGTGGACTGGATGCAGGGCGCCCTGCCTGCAGAGGGAGCAGCACCTGCGAGTGCAGGGAACAGCAGTGCTCAGGGCAGGCAGCGGCACGTGGGGGAGCCTGGAGCTACAGAGGCCCCGTGGAGGGACTCAGTGTGCCGTGCTGAAGCTTGGGCTTGCCGCGTGATGGCGGGGGTCCTTGGAGGAGCCGCGGGGAGCAGGTATTCCAGTTCAGGGCTGCCGGGGGCCAGGCTAAGCCGCACACGTCTCTAGCAAACCTCCTGGGCTGTGGAATGGTGACAGCTGAAGGACAGAGAGAACGAATCAGTTCCAAGCAGCCGGGACGGTCTGCAAAGGTCTGCAGCCTCTGAAATGGCTCGAGCACAGCTTGACCCACATCTTCAACCTGTGCGTGAGCGAGGTGATGATGGTGCCGCCACCTGCCCCAGGAAGATGAACAAGGGACAGGGCATCTTCAGAAGCATCAGGAATGAGAACAAAACTGTGAAAAGATTAAGGGGGAGGGGGAAGTAGAAAGAGGCGGGCAGCCAGTGAGCACCTCTCGATGCGTGACAGAGGGTAGCCGAGGTGAAGGTGTGGCTGGGAGCAATCAGCCTCAAATGTCCTAATATCGGCACCATTTTTTTTTTTTTTTGTACTAGGACTCGAACTCGGGACTTGCACTTGCCAGGCAGGCACTTGTACCACTGAGCTACATCGCCAGCCCTGGCACTGGTTATTTTGGTGTCATAACATATATCCACATTCCAGGAAGTATTTGGCCTGGCCTTTGAGCAGTGACAGAGCTGCCCTGAGAATTGGGCAATGTATGGAGCTGGAAGGTGGCGTCCACATCAGACCTAGAACCTGGGAATCTGCTGCCTACATAGCAGGGGTGACAGATGGGCCTAAATTAGACTGGAAGAGCTGGGGGGGGGGGTTAGCAGTAGTTTGCTTGGTATGTGTAAGGCCCAGGATTGCCCCAGCACTTCAGGGGAGGAAGAAGGAAAATTCAGATCTTAAGAGGAACAGATTATCCTGGTTTGGTCAGTGTAATTGAAAGGCTTTTTATGAGGTGGAGGCAAGAAGGTCAAAGTCAGAGAAAGAAGGGCTGATGACAGTTTGAAGCTTTTTTCTTTGGAGGAAGGGGCCATGAGCTGAGGGGTGCAGGCGTCTTCTAGAGGTTAGAGAAGGTCAGTGGGCCAGTTTCCCCCGTGCTCTCAGCAGGAGCGCAGCCTCACCAGCCCCACAGTCATAGCTCCTGAACTGTCTAGACTTCTGGCCTCCAGGACTATAGGACTGGTTTGCATCAGTTAAGCCACTCCACACGTGGCTACTTATGAATGGCAGCAGCAGATGAACCTCGGGAACAACTGTACTTGCGTCCTTGTGATAAGAGCAGGAATTCCTGAAGTTGGTGGGCCAGTGGTGATCCCTTCCACACCTGGGTGGTCTCTCTGGTGTCCCGGAGGAGGAACCGTGAATCCACAGCCCCAGAGGGGGCTCTTGCTGGTCTCTAACCCTCCGAGATGTCTAGTGAGGGAGGACCAATGCAGGAGGGGGCTCAGGCTGGTGACAGGTGTAACTGCTCTCTGTGACTGGCCTGGAGGAGCCTGACCACCCCTTCTTGGTGTCCCCTTGTATGCCCTCCATGGTAATACTTAAGGCAGATTTTATAATTTCTTTAAAGACAGTGACAGGCCAGCCATGGTGGTGCACACACCTGTGACCCCAGGACTCCTGAGGGGCTGCAAGATGGCAAGTTTGAACTCAGCCTGGGCAACACATGACAGAGTGAGACTCTGTCTCAAAATAAGAAACAGAAGAAGGCTGGGCGGGAGCTCAGTGCAAAGGTCCTGGGTTTAATTCTATGAGCCACAAATACAAACAAAACAAAAAAGAACAAAATCATGAGACAAAGTGTTAATGATTATCAACCCTGGTACCTGGGGACACGTGTTAGCCTGCCCGACACTTGGGCTCCAAAATCAGGATTATAGCTGTGGGCATCGCCCGACCACTCCTGCTCAGCCAAGAAAAGGATGTGAGGACAAAGCGTCCAGCATCCATCCCCTGATGTCCTGCAATTCTCCCACACCTTCCCGTCTGCATGGACAGCGTCTCAAGCTAAATGACAGACACCGCGTGTGTTCTGACCTGATGTGCTTTGATTCTGTCAGTGTCAACTTTTCTCCCAGGGACCCTCCCTCATTCCTTGCTGCCTGGGACAGTCATCCCTCTCGTCTGTGGTACTCGAGCACAGGAACGCACTGAGGAAGGCCAGAGGGCCTGTGGAGCGCGTGTCAGACGCACCAGTGGAGGAGAGACAGGCCTAAGAAAGGAACCCACCAAACCACCTTGGGTGCTGGTTAGGTTTTATTTTAACAGGATGTTTTCTGTTCATTTGTTTTTCAAAATATCAGTTATATCAATATTAGAAGTGTAAACAGGTACAAAATATACAGTACATAGAAACAGTTTTCTTACCTAGTCTATTCCTAATAAAGTACGCAGGAGGGAGCTGGCTGAATGGGCACCACGGTCTCTCCCAAGGGGACAGGAGGACCGGTGGCCACGTCAACAAAATGGGAATGGCAATGTGTGACAGGGACAGCACTGTGGGGACCAAGAAGCCTGGGGCCCTTTCCAGCTCCACCTTGCAGATGCTCGAGGCAGGCCCCCGCGAGCCTTTCCTGTCACCAGCTCAGGACTGCAGACGCACACCGGGAGGCCACGCCAGCCCAGAGCTGTGCTCGTGCAAGTCCTCCGGGCCGAGCATCACACTCATGGGTGTGGGACGGATGCTCTGAGAAGGCGGAACCCTAAAGCCTCTCTCCCCTGTGCTGATGTTCCAGGGAGATGAGCCCAGCTCGAGCGGCCGGTCAGTTCCGGGCCCGCTGTGACCTGTGGTGAGCTGAGCTGCGTCCCTCAGCTCTTGCTGCCCTGGCACTGAGGAGAGATGAGCTCTCCTGCAGTTTCCCAGTCACTGCACCAATGAAGCAAGATGCAGTGTGGGTGGGACGCACTGGGAGCACGGGAGCTCAACAGACAGCGCAGCACACAGCAGCACTGGGGGTGGGTCGGCGGACTCTGTCCTGGGCTCTAGGGGACCCAGATGGCCTTGGCTTCTTCACCTCCCAGGCCTAATGCTACAGTGCCAGGCAACTCCCAGAGATGAGGCCCAGAAGTCACACAGCAGTGACACTTTCTGGTTCCTGTGCACAGATGCCGCCGGTGGCCCCAAACAGGTAAGGTCAGGCCAGGGTTCTGGGGGGCCGGCTGATCCTGCCAAGGCTGCTCCTCAGTTGGCCCCACCTCTGGAGTGGCCCAGGGCTGGAGCAGCGGGGAACACTACGGTGATGTAGTTCCCATGGGCTGTGTTGTAGACACCATCCTTTGGAGTCAGGGCTACTGGGGTGCCCAGGGCCCTCCTCGCCTCCTGTCCCCCACAGGTCGACCTCCCCACATTTACCATGGGGCTCCAGAGACAGAGAGGACATACCCCTGCAAACCAAAAGCACACTACGGAACTCAACTGCGGCTGCTACTCTTTTCTAGCTTTTTCCTCAAGAATTAAAAGAACAAAAAAACCCGGATATGCAATTAAATTACTTAAAACTCTACCATGGTGTTCAGTTTCACAGAGAATCCTACTTTGGAGATGGACACGTACTGAGTTCTCTTTTTCCAGTGATCTGTTCAGAAATGTGGAAATTTGGTTCTCTCCCTTTTGGCCTCCACGCCTCCGAAGCCGCCCTGCGGTCTGCGCAGGCTCTGTAGTCTGCAGCTGGCGGGGGCCTGGGGCAGGCTCACAGGTCCCCTCCATCCGTGGGTCCCAGGACACTTAGGCCGCAAGTCCAGTCAGTCACGAGGTCTGTGGGGGCCAGGGGTCCCTTGGCGGCGGGGCTCTTGAAGGGGTCTGGGGGCGCAGCAGGCACGGGGGGCAGTGGCTGCCCGCGGGCCGGCGTCTTGGCCCCTGCTGCGTGGTTGCGCTGGTGCTTGCGCAGGTGGTCCTTGCGGATGAAGCTCTTGCCACACACGGTGCAGGTGAAGGGCCGCACGCCCGTGTGTGTGCGGTAGTGGTCGATGAGCTTGGAGCGTTCGGTGAAGCGCTTCTCGCACTCGGTGCAGGGGAAGGGCCGCTCGCCCGTGTGGAGCATGCGGTGGCGAATGAGGTGCGCGGGCCTAGTGAAGCAGCGGCCGCACTCTCCGCACCGCAGGGCGCTGCTGTCCCGTGCACTGCCACTGTTGCTGCCACCACTGCCGCCGCCGCTGCCACCAGCACCACTGCCACCACCACCCGTAGCTGTGGCCACCGTGGGTACTGTGCCCGTGCCCGAGCTGTCAGGTGGCCCACAGCTGCGCTGGTGTGCGCTCAGGCTCACCTGCAGCTGGAAGTTCTTCCCGCAGGTGGCGCAGGTGAATGGCCGGCCCCCGGGGGGCGCCGCTGGGTGCTTCTTCAGCCCCGGCTTGTGGCCAAAGCCTTTGGTCCGGCCTGGGTATTTGCAGGGCTCAGGAAAGGGTCTTGGGGCCTGGCTGGGGTCCAGGATGCCCTCCCCACTGTCTGGTGAGGAGAAGGGCAACCCCTCGGGCCCGGTCCTTGGGTTCAGGCTCACCGGGGGCTTACAGCGGAAGTTCCAGCCCCACCGGACCCCACCAAAGAGCCAGTCCCCAGCAGGGGGTGTCTCTTCTTGGGCCATGGCAGGGCTGAGGTCACCCAGGTCCCTCTCTGGCCGGGCAGGCTCACGCAGCCCCAGCACCGGGTCCTGACTGGGGAAGGAGCTGCCCTGGCTCTCCCAGGCCCCCTCCTGGACAGGGCTGGGGAAAAATCTTGCAGCCTGGCCAGGTGCAAACAGGGTCCCGTGAGCTTCCAGGTCCGTGGGATGCACAGGCGTGGCTACCACCTCCTCTTCCTGGACTTCTGTTTTGATCACGATTTTGACATCTGCTGAGAGACAAAATGGCAGGTATCATTTTGGTTCTCTGCCCACGGGCACTGGGCAGAGCCCTCAGGGCCAAGCTGTAGGGCCAAGCTGTAGGGCCACAACTTCGGGAGTCACCACCTGGCCTGCGAGGCTGCAACAGACCCCAAGGACACCCTCATCTTGATGACTTCAACCCTGGAAAAGCAATGTTCAGTTGCCTCAGGCCCAGTTCCACTTTGGTGAAGAGGCTGACCGTGGATTTAGCCCAGGAGGACTGGCAAATGGTGGCCAGGTGCCCAGAGGGCTCAGAGGAATCTGAGCCCGTGCCACAGCTCTGCCACAGACAAGCTGTGGGCATCAGCATCCTGCTTCGGTTGTGCATCTGCGCACTGCACGTGAGGCTGCAGGCCGACTCACGGCTAACCACCTAGCAGCACCACTTCCTTCCCTGTGGAATGCAGCGGGCACGCTCCAGAGGCAGCACGTCGCTCATGCAGCATTCGTGCAGGAGACTGTCCTGAGTTCAGGCAGCTGTGCTTTATTTCCTACCCCAAGGTTCTGTATCAGAGTGCTCAGCTTTAAGCCCCATCTGGGGTGGGGTGGGCGGGCACTAACATAAATGACTACATTAGCAGAGAACTTTTTAGCAGATAACGGGCCTCCAAAAGCTAATCAAAGAGAACACTCACACATGGATTTGGTAGCTGTTCTTCACAGTTCTGCCCTTCAGACACTGTCAGGCAGCACAATGTCTGCGAGGTAGCCTGCCCGCTTCGCGGCTAACTCTGGGAGGAGGCCCCGCCTTTGGGCACCAGCTTATCAGAGCCCACTGCAGTTGGAGACGCAGATGCTCTCCAGACAGAGGTGTGGGGCTGAGAATTTGGAAGGAGCCAGGACAGAATGTATGAAGTCATGAGATCAGACCCAAGCGGCTGTTGGCGGCAAGGCCAGGGAGGTCACAAGTACAAACGGGCCCCAGACTGTGGCATCCACCCTCTTTGCCTGCCACCTCACTACCTTCTGTGGACGCTGCTGTGCTGAGCTTCAGTGTTCCGTCTGAGCACGCTGAGGACGGGTGGTGGGGCGGCAGCTCTGCCTGCCAGGAAGTGGGTGGGATGGTGGTTGAAAAATTGGAATGGACACCTGCAGTGGGGAAAGACCAGAGCGTAAGGATCAAGGAGGAAAGAGGAGCAGACCAACAGCATAAGAGGGGCTGGTAGCTAAGTGCTGAGAGCCCCATGACCGGCTGGCATCTCTTGAGGCCAGTGTCTTTCACCTCCTCTCTGAAGCACTACAACACCCAGTGTCACCAACTCATCTACTCAGCCCCCCACCAATATGAGGCAGCAAGAGGAGGCATGTATTTGGGGAAGAGCCCATATTGGTTGGACCAGAGGAACCTGCAGGAAGTGTCACTTATCCCTGGGGCCCCAAGATGTTGTCTGTATAGCCCCTGCCCACAGCTTGTCTCCTACTCCTGGGAGCTTTCCTTGCTCCCTGCCCATAGCCCGTACCTCGAAGCCACTCACCAGAGGTGGCATCTGTGGAGATGTCTCCTGCCCCTGAGTCCAGCTGGCTGAGGCCCCAGGGCTCTTCTCCCACATCCGGCTGCCCAGCGGCCCAGGCCTCCACGCCCAGCGCCTGCTGCTCCTGCAGTTGCAGCTCCCCTTCCTGTTTGATCTGCATCAGGAGGTCGGGGGCAGGAACTGGGGGCCCTGACCCTGGGGAGGGAGAACGTGTGAGCCCTTGGCTCTGGCTGGGCGCACAGCCGGCCAGGGAAATGCACACCCTGGCTCATGAGGGTCCAACAGCAGAGGAGCCTGCGGGAAAGGAAGGCGGCAACAGACAGGGACTCCAGGGCCTCTGTGCAGAGGATGTGTTCACGGCTATCGGGTACCTGGACAGGATGGGGGAGTGAGGTCCCAGGGCTAGGGCTGCCTGGGGAGATCTGTCCCTTATGCATAAGAATTTTAATGAGCTCAGAGAAAATATGCCTGATGCAAGAATCACTGAAAAAACTGGGCTTTCCTGTCCATGTGGGCTGCACAGCCTGCATGGAGCCAGGAGCCATGTAGCTCTGTCCTGTCTGTGTGGTGGGGACCAGTCAAACTCCATTCACCCAAGCGAGTGACCAGGGAGCTGCCCCCTTGTCCAGAGTTGTGCACGGGCAAGTGACCTACACAGAAACCAGAGGCCCATGTCTACGTGGAGCTCACACCACCCACACAGCACAGGCCCCTAAATGGGAGCCATGGCAACGCAGGAGGCCCCAGCAGAGGGCAGTGCAAACCTGCCCCCTACTGGGTATTCCCACTACACAGGTGGCAAGGGCCTTCCCCCAAACTGAAGGGGGGCTAAGGCTGGAGAGAAATGAAAACTTACTAACTGTGAGAGGAGCCAGTCCACACTGGGAGTCACAGAAGACTTTACTCCCAGGAACTACAGGACAGGCTAGTGATGCCATCATGGGCAGTCCAGAGTCTTCAAGGAAAGGGAAGGAGCAGGATCTCCAAAGCAAGAATGGTAAATTATTTTTAAAAAGGCAGAGTTGAGAAAAAACTAAATGAACTAGAAATGACATAAGTAATATGGAAATGAGAAAATGAAATAGCTTAATAGACTAACATAGCTGGAGAGAAAATTAGTGACTGAGAAGAGAGACCTGGGGAAGTAATCTCGAGTAAAGTACTGAGCAAAGGGAAATAGAGTAAATGGAAAATTTAAAGAAGAGTTAAGAGCCATGGAGGAGAAAGCGGGAGCTCTACATGCTGGTAGAAATCCCAGCAGCAGAGAGCAGAGCAAAGGGTACCTGGCAATGGGTGAAGAAGTAAGGGAGTCTTCCAAGATCGAAGGCATAGTCTGATGGGCTACACCAAAGCCCAATCAGGAAATATAAACAAACAAGTGAACAAATAAATGCAGACAGTATTCATGTGAAATGGTGTAGCAACACAAGTGAAGAGAGAACTCTTAAAATACCAAAACCAGTTTTCAGACTGAATGCAGGTTTCCCTTGGCAGTGAGGCCCTCGGAGAATACAAGAGCATCATCGAATGCTAGGCTGGCAGGCGCAAGGCTCAGCTCGATCCCCAGCACCAGAGGAGAAAGAGCTAGAGGAAGTGTGTCAGCTTATAGCATGAGCTTGCTCAAAGCCTAGAGGACAACTTAGGAAAATGTAGAAAATAATCTCATTTATGAATATGTACGTAAAGATTTTAAGTTAAAGAATTCCAAATGCAATTGAATCTAGCAACGCGTTTCCAAAAATGGAGATTATGAATATCATAAACAATTTGGTTTATCCTGAGAACGCAAAGATAAGCCCACTTTAGAGAACAGTAATATAACTCGTGGTTACCACATTAATGACAAAGATGATATCATTATTTTATTTTTTAAAATTAAAAAAAATTATTTTGTCTTTTTGAGGTAGGGCCTCACTTTGCAGTGCAAGCTGGCCTTGAGCTCACTCTGTAGCCCAGAGTGGTCTTGATGGTCTTGAACTCCCAACGATCCTCCTGCCTCAGCCTCCTGAGTGCTGGGATTACAGGTGTGCACCACCTCGCCTGGGTAATATCATTTTAAAATATGTAGAAATAGCTTTCTACTCTTCTGCCTCTGGCAGAGACATCTTCCAGAATGGAAGATGTGAAAATGCTGGGCATAGTATAAAAATAAAAAGCATTTACGCATGGATCGATCATCTACAAATAAAGTAAGGGCAGCAAGGGCCAGCAATCGTAAGAACGCTGCCTCTCTGATGTGCGTGGGAGGACGCCTGGTCTGCAGCTGCATAGGCAGGATGTAAACGCCAAGGTGGAGTGAAAAGCTGGGGCTGGACAGGCAGGAGGCTGCAGTGCACACAGCTCCGACTCTGCACACCGTGAGGACAGCACGCCCAGTGCGCTAAACTCAATCCAAAGCAAGATGTGTGTGGAAGAAGGCTGCTTTGCCTGGGCTGGGCCCTAGGCTGGGCAGGGAGAGCAGTGTGCTCCCCAGCAGGTGACACCCATAGGCCAGCGTGCTGGCATGTCTGGTGCCAGGCTTCAGAGCCAACGTGGGCAAGACCGCCGGTGGAGAAGCCCCAGGTCTGTGATGGCAACAGCGCCCTGTGGAGATGCACACATCCTGGGGTGGGGTGGGGGAAGGGACAGTCTCCAGGCTTCCAGAGGATGAGGGGCTGCGCTCACAGTTGCGGATGACCGTGTCCCTGGAAAACCAGCTGCCTCCAATAGTCAGCAGCCAGACATGAACTGCAGAACACGATCCACAAGTCCTCTGCGCACTGGAGTTGTTCCATAGAGAATACAGATAGTTCTTACTGAATGACTTTCTTATGTAATGGTTGCTTGGACTGGGGAGCTGTCTTTTTTCTGTACAGTTCTGTACATCTTGTTGACAGCCTCAGTGTCTGTTTTGAACAGCAAACTTTGTGTAGAGAGCACTGTCAGTTTCACTAGTTGTCCTGTACTGCTCAGCGCTACAGTTTTATGTTGTTATACATTACAGTACTGCATGTAAAAGTTATGCAAACAAAAGCAAAGTCATCAAGTTAGAATTTTCTTTTGACCATTTCTTTGTTCTGAGTATTGCAATGTATGTATTTATGGACAATCCCTCAGTCAGCGAACAATTCATTTAATGACTTGCTCACAGGACTGTAGCTTGGTCATTAAACAAGGAATATGTGTATACTATTTAATATACTTACAGAAATAAGATGGGGAGCATTTGAAAAAGAAGAGATTATCAAAACTGGCCAAATGCTGAATACAACTTTAGAACGGTAAGATAAAGTAAACGAAATTCAAAACTCTAATCTGTGGTTAAACATCAGAGTGGAAGGAGATGAACAGAGAATGGTGAAGTAACGAAAAGATCAGGAGAAATTATTCAGACCTCAGCACAGAGACAGAGTTATAAAAAAAACAGGTTCCAGGTTAGTTGGGCTAATGTGAAAACATTCCCAAATAAATGATTAAAGAGAAAGGGGCAAAGCCACCAACGGGAAAACACTGCTCACTTCCCAAAACTGGTGGGAAATACCAGTGATGGCGGAGAAAGAAGAAGCTGTAAAATTGCAAATCCTGGAGACAGCCCCAAGGGCAGGTGGAGGATGAAGGCAGATTACCCACCAGAGAGGGCCGTGGAGACTGCTGGTCGATCTCAGCTAGTCCACAAAAGGGGCACATTATCCACCAAGGCTACGGGAGAATGACAGTCAGCCTAGAGCTCTCTCTTGCCAACATAGGGATGGAATAAAGGTATTTTCAGACACTAACTCACATACGTAAGTACTCCATATAAACTCATTACCGTCCGGCCCACAGGGAACATCCAAAAGCAGGCACGTCAAGCCCTTGGCCCACGAGCTGCACGGCCCTGGACAGCCAGTAATGTGGCTGCTGGCATTCGCAGTTCTGTTGCTGTCGTGGTTATGGGTGTTTCAGTGAGAGGTAACCCCACGCTACGCCCTTTCTATGGAGCATCCTGGGGTCACCTAGCAAGTTGGCGTGTGAGGGGCTACCTCTGCCGAAGGTGATGCCAAAGCCCTGTGGTCAAACTGACCTTGTGTCTCAGATGTCACAAACACACACGCACCTTGGTGTGCGTGGGACTTGGCGATTACGAGCAACAGCTCCTCAAGTCTCCCCACACGTGAGCCTGCGAAGATGGGCAACCGCTGCCAGGCAGCCTCGCACGTCTGCTGCTTGGCATTGTAGTATTTTGTAAAGTAATACGTTAAGAGTGTGAAAAAAAGGAAGTTTGGTTACATGGACTATATGTTTTATACAGGGCCAAGATAATTGCTCAGCGTGGTCTAGGTTAGCCAAAAGGTTGGCTGGCTATCCACGTTCTAAGGGAACAAAACAAACTAAGATTCCAGTACAGGAACAGAAGTAGAACGTGTAGCTTTCAAACTAATTAAAATAACCATAGTTTGAAGAAGAAATCTAAGCGAATCATCACCAAAGGAAAAGTGGGGGTTCACAGAGACACAAACAAGGCCAGAGTCAGGACTAACTGTGCAGGAAGACGGCAGAAGGAACCCAGACCACGAGAGACCAGGCAGTGATGGCGTCCGGACCGGCGCATGCCAGCAGGACCGACGACGCGGCCGCCAGTTTGCCGCCGTGTCCCAGCAGAGCAGCCACATCCCAAATGTGAAGAAACAGGCGAAAAATGCTTTTACTTAACAAATATTCCAAGTATTATGTCAATAGATAGTCAATATAAAATAAAATAATTTATTTTTTATTTAATGTTTTGCTGTATTAGGGATCAAACTTGAGACCTTAAGCTTGCCAGGCAAGAGACAACTTAGGCCACTGAGTTATCTCCCCAGCCCCTAAAATAATTTATATATACATATATTTTACACAAGCATCTTTCACACACACTTTTTGGGGTTTTGGTGCAGTTTTCAAACTCTCGCCTGTTTATCCTCACAGCACATTTCAAATGCCCAGGGGCTCCCTGCTGCTCACGTTCTGGACACTTAAAAGGTGAAGATGATCGGACTGGACAGAGGAAGGAATGGACCACAGGCAGCGCCGGCCCTGCCCATGGCACGCTGAACTGGCCACAGAGACTGGGGCTCATGCCTGTAATCCCAGTGCTGGGGAGGCTGAAAACAGGAGGATCACTATGAGTCTGAGCTGTGTGGTGAGACCCTGTACCAAATATATTTTTTTAAAAAAAGGACAGAGGAAAGAATAAA